AAAAAAAAAAAAAAAAAAAAAAAAAAAAAAAAAAACATCCAGCTCTACACCTTGTTATCTCAGATTTTCCAGCATCATGCTTTTCCTACTATCTCTGAATCAATTCCCTATTGTTGTGTTTATAAAGAAAAGAATCAAATCACTCAAGGTATTAACTTATGATTTAGTTCCACCTTCAGAATTATGCTTTACATGTTGGAAAACCCTCAAAGGATAATGCAAAAACGCTGAAGTGTTGATTTCATTGGTTTTTCTTTCAGTTTTCACTTGGCTGCCTCAAAGGGACAGGTGGAATGCTTGGGAGCGATGCTTTCTCATGGTCTTGATCTAACCATACCTGATGGCTCAGGTAAGCAGTTAACTACTGACAGTATGCATGTGTTATGGAAAATTACGATATTTTGTTATCAAGTTAGTTAATTACACTTGTTTTTTTAACCATTAACAATTTTAAGACTTACTGCCAGGAATTTCCTCAGTTTATGCACACCTCTTCCACTAAACCATTCATCATTCAAAGCCTGCTTTCTACCTTGCTCGCAGTGCTTATAGTCCTGACAAAAGTTGCTTCAGTTCTTCCTTCTATCCTTTAATCTCCAATGTTATGCATGATTGATCACAGCATTCTCATTGTCTTATCTGCACAGGCTGGCTTTGCTTGGGTCCACTTTACCCATCTCAATACAGCCAACACAATTGCAGAAATAATTCTTTTTCCAGCTACTATTGAGTTACCTGTAGTTCTCTGTTTCTGTGGAAAATAGTGAATGTAATTGCTTTGTTCAAAAAAATGAGGGAGACAGAAAACTACAGGGAAGTTAACTTTTGTCCTAAGGGAAATGTTAGAAGGTATTATTATAGAAGGTATAGCAGGGCACTAGATATATTCAAGGTAATTAGGCAGACTCACCACGGTTTTGTGCTAGGAAAATCATGTTTGACCAATTGATTGGAGTTCTTTGTAAAAGTAATGTGCCGTGGATGAAGGGGAACCTGCGAATGTAACTGTACTTAGATTTCCAGAAGGCATTTGGTAACGTGCCACATCAAAGGTTATTGTGGAAATTAACAATCATGGTATGGGGTTGGGGGACATGGATAGAAGATTTGTTAGCTAACAGGAAATAGAATAGGTGTAATTGGGACAGTTTGTAGTTGGCAAGATACAAGTAACGCACCACAGGTTCAGTACTGGGACGTCACCTTTTAACAACTTATATAAATAAAGAAATCAAAGTATGATCACTAAATTTGCAGATTATATCAAGATTGGTTGGAAAGTAAGTTGTGATGAGGCCGTATGGAGTTGACAAAGGGATAGGTAAGTTAAGTGAGTGGACGAAGATCTGGCAAATGAAGTAAAATATGAAATTATCCCTTTTTGGCGGGAAGATTTAAAAGAAGCGCATTGTCTAAATGGTGAGAGATTGCAGTGCTCAGTTGCAAAGGGATCCAGGTATACTAGTTCATGAATCCCAACATTTACCTGCAGGTCTAGCAAGTCCTTAGGAAAGTTAGTAGAATGTTATGATTTATTGAGAGGTGAATGAAATACAAAAATAGGGAGATTATGCATCAGCCAAACATGACATTGCTGAGACCTGAGAGCATCTTGAGTACTCTGTAGGATATTGGTGTCCTTACTGAGAAAGGATGTAAATGTTTGGAGGAAGTGCAGAGAAGGTTTACCAGACTAGTACCTGGAATAATAGATGGTTTTCCTTATGAGAAAAGGGTGCACAGGCTAGACTTGTATCTGTAGACATTTAGAAGAGTAAGAGGTGACTTGATTGAAATGTACAAGATCCTGAGGAGTCTGAGCATGTGGAGAGGATACCTCCTCTTGTGGAAAATTCTGAAACTATGAGTTACTGTTTTAAAATAATAAGCAGTCACCCACTTATGCAGAAATGAAGATGTTTTTCAAAGGTTTGAGAGTCTTTGGAATTCTCTTTCTGAAAAGATACTGGAAACAGAGACTTCCAGTATTTGATAGGCCGAGGTTGATAGATTTTTGTTCAGTAAGATTATCACAGGTATGCAGGAAAACAGAGTAATCCAATCAGACATAATTTTATTGAATGGTGGAGCAGACCCAAGAGGCCTGGTTGCCTGTTCATGCTCCTAGTTTGTATGTCAGAGGTGCACTTTTCCACTGTCATCTTCTTTCTAACCTAAACTCTGCACCGAAGTGCTGTCATTCTGATTCTGCTGATTTTTGCAGATCTGCCACTTTTGTTTGAACACCTATTAGACTAAAGCCACAATTACATATTCCCAAAAGCATAAATCTGTGCCCTTGCTGTTGAAATCCTTGCCTGACTACATGCTTAGGACGCTTGTGATGAAGTTAGATTCTCTCAAATTTGTGTCAGATTTCATTTGATTTCATATTACATAAATACCTAGAGTGTATTGTGTTAATTATGTCCTGTTTTAATATTCTTCCATCCCTATGGCATCCTTTTAGACCATTTCTTCGATATAAATTTTCTGTTGGGTTCTACTGGTGGCACAACTCTACACATTACCCTGCTCTTGGTGCTTAAGTGTAACAAAATTCATTCCATGCACGTGTGGGGAAAAAGAAGAGGGAGCATGGGTATGCCTGTTGTAATATTTACCATTCTGCATACCCAAGAATAGAACAATCTGCTTATAGGGACTTCGAAAGATCCCTTCAAGAATACCTTGCCTTTTGGTAGGTGACCAATTGGCTTCCCCTTGGTACCATCTCCCAAGACGGTGACCGAATTTAAGGTCTTATAGGCGCTCGTGCATGTTTCCATAATTTCCAGTACACTATTGTATTCTACCAATCTTTTTGGCTTATTTATTTCCAAAATGAACATAATCCTGTGTCTGCAAAATAAGTGTCAATCAAAGCTTCATTTAGAACATACTGAAGATATCTCCAAATACTGAAATTCTCTACTTTATTAAATTTTTTCCAGCCTGACAGTGCCCAAGCTGAGAAATATAAATGGCGTTTACAATTCTCCTGGTTTTGTTCCAGTCCAAATGCGAATATTTATAGTAATTCAGAATCTTTTCTCAGCTCAAACCTATCAGGGTGGACAATTTAAAGCAAAAGTTCTGAAAAAGGGTCACAGGACCTAAAACATTAACTCTGCATTCTCTCCACAGGTGCTGCCAGGACTGCTGAGATTTTTCCAGCAATGTCTTTTTTTGTTTATGATTCCTAGTATCTGCAGTTTATATTTGGATAATTTTAAAGATTTGATGGGTCTACGTATTAAATGTTAATATGTCTTTATCTTTCCGATGCAGATTGATTGTTTCTAGTATTCGTCACTTGTATTAGGTTTCCAGCTTATAATCTCCATAGTAGTAGCCATTTTATTAATCAGTTATCTGAATTAAATTGAATCAGCTTTATTGTCACATGCACTCACATGAGTACAGTGAAAAGTTTACTAGTTGCTACTTACGTTGCCATCTTAGGTACAGATTCTTAGGTACAAATTCTTAAAAAAATTACAAAAATAGAATGTCCAGCAGTACAGACCTTCAAAAGTTCAAAATCATATTAATAAATTAGAAGTATAGAGAAATAAAAAGTTCAGAAC